GAAGTGAGAATATTAATGTAGTTGTGGAAAGAATAGAGAGATTAAGATAGATTCATGGCCAAGGTTGAGAAACACTGGTTTAAGTCAATGCATTTGTCAAGGACAAAATTACTGCTGTTTAGAGTGGTAAAATGTTCCCTACTTCGGAATGAGGAACAAAGAGGTATCCATTTCATATCTGTCTAGTATGTGTAAACTTTACTTCTTAGGAACGGGTCATTATAAACATGCTTCTTGTCAGGGATGTCCACAGGGTGTGGTCAAAAAAGTCAAGATAGTGGGCACAACATTGTTATCGTAGAAAATCCTAATCTGTATTTTCTGTTTCCACTGTGTCAGTTATTCTCGTCTGTATGTGGCAGATGGAAAATCATGCTCCTGTTTTCATTTCAGTTCTTATCAGGAAACTATGACTGTCCTCCCTACAGGGCTCTCACTGCACAGAGCTTTTTATAAAAAGGGTTCACAGCAAAAATAGGAACAACAGCTCTAAGATGTTTTGGAAAAACATCTGTCCCTAAATGTGGGGCAGAGGGGGAAGAAATGTATATGTGATTTTTAGATGGTCCTAATCCAAATCCTTTTAAAAGAAAGATCCATCACCTGCCTAGTTTATGATTGTGGAGACTTGTGCTCATGCTTTTAAGGCTGTGCCTAAACAAAGAGAGTTTACCTCTTATGACTCCTTCAAAACTTTCCTCCAAACACCCCTCTGAAGAGTTTTATACTTTGTCCCCTGACCTGAAAGCAGCAGTTATTTTAAAAGAAGGGCAACAAAGCTGAAAGTAATCTTAAAAACACCTGCAAGTTAACTAATCCTAAATAAAACCGAAACAGTAGCAAAACTAACGGAGAGTTGATGGCAATCATGGTGTCAAACAGTTACTGCTATGGTTTGGTTTAACTTATTTTCCAGTTGCTGACTAGAATTGAAACCAATCTAAGTATAATACCCAGTCCAGTTTCATTTCTTGTTTCTTCTATTCACTGGTTTCAGTTTGTGTTTCTGATTTTGATGAGATGTTTGATCTTTATTTAATTTGTGTAAACTTCTTGCTTTTGTTTCAGGCTTCTTAGGATTCTTACAGCAAGAGACTTCCCAGTCTGGTCTGACTCAAAGAAAAATTCCCACTGATTTCATTAGTAGTTTACTTTTGAGTCATTGCATGCAGTCTACTGTGAGAACTTTTGACGATTAACCCAGCATTGTGTTGAAGGTGTGTGAAAAAGTAGTGACCTAAAGCAGGAGTATACGCTCTTTTTTAGGCAGAGCCATGAGTGAGGTGCAGGGGCTGCATGCGAAAAGGTATGTAGGGACAGGACAAAAATGAACCTTGAGATAATTTAATTAAATGTTACTGTCGATGCAATGTACTCTATGTATTAAATGATTGTCTCCTTTTGTAACATTAGAAATTAAAATTTGATGCTAAGTATTGAAGGAACTTTGAAAGCTGTACCAGAAGCTTTGGAGGGCACAAGAGGTAAACCTGATGTCTTGGAGTGGGTATTGTCCTAAAGAAACTCTTCCCAAAAGAAATAACAAAAAAGACTAGAACTTTCCAGAAGAAATGCTACAGCCTGATGGGAATTGTAACATCTCAGGGTGAACGTGAGCAGTTGCTTTATTGTAACTGTCCCTCAAGCTCCCCCTGCCCTTTGAACAGTTAAATAGTATGAAGAATGCAGATAATCTAATCATACCAGGCTATATACAGAAACACAGTTCTTGAAGTAAGGCCGGATACCCCCATGTGCACCCACATCCACTTAACCAACATTGTTACAGAACCCAGTAGCATCTGACTTCACATTGGGGCTGTACCATCTGCTCTTCCTTTTGGGGTGATATATGTCATCACCCACCAATAATACCGTTTTAGTATCTATCTAGAATGTGGTTGAGTCTGCCTACAAGAGAATAAATAGAAGTATAATATAAAAATAGCAGTATCTTTAGAAACGAGTGGAAGAACATTTCAACTGATCATAAATTCAGTCTGCGTCAAAGAAAAACCCTGGGGTGATGATTTACAGTGTAAAATTTTTTAGCAAATTTTATTTTAACTGAACGTTAGATTTGTTTCCACTGGAGGTGTTAAATTAGCCCAGCTGGAACGTATCACTGGTAAAGAGATTTCAAAATAGATCTCAATCCTTGTGTATTATCTATTTACTTGTTCTGCTTAGAACTGTCAAGGATCTGACACTTTTGGGCATCCACTGCTTTTATTTTCCCATACTGAGGAGGAGACATCACGTATCTGACAGGCCTGATCACAAGCCTGCTGCGATGCCCTGTGGCACGATTATTTCTTTGCTGCAAGCAGCTCCTCCCTCTTGGTGCTACAGTTCTGCTTATGAACAAAATTGGGTAGTGGTGCTATTTGAAACCTTACAGTCATTACTTTGTCCTTTGTCCAGGGGTGTATGGATAGATATCCATTACTACCTTCTCGCAGGTATTATGGCTGGGTTTACACTACGTAGGACTGTTGGTGAAAGGCGGTTGTTTGGGCACCGCTGAGTCATTGGAGAAAAGGCTTTAGCATGCAGCTGTTTAGGAGAGATAGGAAGTCTCTAGAGAGATCTCTCTGTACCGCGTTCTGTTCTGAATTGTAGGTGTAGAGATGATTAAGAGAAAGCAGCTACTGTACTGTCCCCTTGCTTCTGGCTAAAAGAAGGAGGCAAGGGATGGTGGGGAAAATCTCAGGGAGAGCTAGACAATGTGAAAGAGGACACATGGGTGCCAGCAACAGGGGACAAGTGATATCACATGCATCAAACAAATGTAATTTGCTATGTGATTTGTATCAGTTGCATCATGATACATACGCTATTGCCATGGCTTCTTCCTAATGCCTTTGAGGGGACAGAGTATGCATTTCCTATGTTCTCTATGTTGTGGCTGGTTTAGACATTGCACTGAACTATTATTTTGTTAACCATGGGTTGTTGGATAAAGCACAATTGCTAGGATTTACATATGCTAAGCGATACACCATAGCTTATCAGTCATAATAGCTAACTTCACACCGCATAGATTACACTAGAGGCAAATAAACCACATTATGGATTGGTGTGGTCTGCAAGCAACGTCTGAGAGATGTCTCTTTAGTAGGTGGCTTTGTTAGCTTTCGAAGAAAGTGTATGTTTCCTTGAGAAGGTGATTGAATTATTTTTTTCTGTGACCTTTATCAATTTCCTGTGAAATTGATATTTTGTTGTGCTTTGTGAGGATTTGTGTGCTTTGTCAAATTTGGTTCTCAGGCTTCATCTCTAACTTGTAGAGTTTCTTGGCCAAAGTTACCATAAGTCTCATCAACTCAACTTCTGTAAAATGAATATTGAAACAGAAAACAGAAACACAGATAGACTTCCCTTCATCCCAAAAGAGAAGATAACTGATTGCTCTTTAAGCTCTTTTGTCCTCTGGACAAGGAGGAAATGAAATTACTCTTCAGGAAAGCATATATGAGGTTATAGTCTTCTCTCTGCTGTGGGTTCTTTTGATTCAGATGGGTAAATGTCTCCTTGTAATTTAAAAGATTAGGGCAGAATTGCTGAAGTCTGCATTCTGTAGCCCCCACTCCTGATTTCCTTCAGAACCAAGAGCCACCATGAACAGTGGACTGTAATGGCTGTCTTCAGATTTGTTTCCAGGGAGGCTTGTTCCAGGTGAGGAGACCAACATGAAGCAACAACCTTGCCTTATAATCTATTTGCTGAGCCAGGGGAGACTTCTTGGGCTGGGGAGACTGAAAGTTGACAACTTATGGGACTGAGCTGAATCCTTGCCTAGTTTGCATTTATGTTAATGCCTCATACTCCCAACTGTAGATGGTGGCAAGGATGGTGCTAATAAGAATCAGCAGCTATAGCAGTCCATAAGTCTTCATCTTTGCTTTTGTGCTTTGTGCAGCTATGGCTTGAGAAGGCAGCTTAGACTTCTTCAGTTGAACCTCTTCCCCTTTTGAATGTACTCTATGTTCTGCCTGTGTAACAGCGTCCGTTTGGCAGATGGATATGCTGAAATCCCTAGAGACCTTTAGGTGCATGTAAAAGTTATTCTCATTTATATTGTGGGGAAGGATACAAAGTCTGTAAGCCACTGAAAATGTGATGGAGACAATGATAGGTGTCAGCAGATAAGAAAGTACCCCCACCTAGTTTCTCTTCTACTACTGCAAGATGTAGGAATAGGAGCTTATATGGCTTTCAAGGGACATTAGACAAATTCCCTCAGGCTACCAGTATAATCTCCCTGTGGTGATCTGGATCTGTCAACCTAGGTTGCTGTTTAAGTACCTAGATGTCCAAGACCACTGCTGAAGTGGTACAAAGCTCACCAGCTGTTTGGTGCCAATTGGCTGCCCTTTGGGAGCAAAGGGGTCATTCCACTCTGTTTAACTGATCAAGCAAGGATCACCCTGCTTCTTTACCTTGAGGGCTCACTTGGCTTTCACCCAGGATCTTGGAGGCTACATTGCTAATGCCAGTTAAAATCGGGATAGAAACTAATGTTGACTTAATTTAAAATACAATTCATGTGGTTGCTCCCCACATATTTAAAACGTTCCTCTTTTCACATTAACAGTTATATCAGGAATTTTGCAAAGTTTGGGAAGGAGGCATACATTTTGCCCCTCTGCTCTACAGAAAAAGAACTTGCTGCCTCCCATTCTGTTGACATAGAGTTCTCCTTCCAGGTATTACAACTGAAGACAAAGGTTTCACATTATTTCCATATTGTGGGAAGATCAGTTAAAAACCATCTTATAATGTCCATGGTGGGAATTAATAACCACCTAATGACAAATATGAGAGCCTAGAGACAAGTAGCCATGATAGGATGTGTATGAACATAGACTATCCAAACCTTTCTTCTGGAATTTGATGAATTAGAGCTCTTTAAAAAAATTTTTAGGGTGTTGTTGAATATGTGTTCATAGTTTATAAAGTCCTGTATAAACCTCCTAGAGGTCCTGTTCCTTGAATTTCTATGTCCCTCTTCCAGCTGTGCTCCAGTGTTGATGCAGAGATGCTGACGTACATCAAGTTGTAATTCTCCATCACATTTACATAAAAAAACAAGGCTTGATGTAGGTTAATAAATCAGAATCCTGCCTTATGAATTGGTCTTGTTAACTAAGATTAAGACAAAATTATAAAATTCTGTTATACTAGCAAATTCTAGGCTATTGTAAAGCAGGATTTCCTTGTTGCTTTGTGAAGTAGCAAGGGAACACCACATGACTATGCAGGTAGTCCTCAATTTATGATGGCAATTGGGACCAGAATTTTCATCGTTAAGCAGTGCGGTCGTAAAGCACGACTGCATCGTTTAGAGATGGTAATCCCTACAGTCCCGGTTGCTGTCGTTAACTGAATCCCATAGTTGTTAGGTGAGGCAACTTCCTGTGGCTTCCCACAACCAAAGTCAGTGGGGAAGTCAGCACGAAGTTGCAAGTCCCAGGCCCGCAGGTAGGTAAGTGGCTGCTGCCAGGTGGGGGAGTGAATGAGGAGGTGCACGAGGGTGTGAGGGGGGGTTGGGGAGGATGCGAGCAGGTGCATGAGAGGTGTGGGTCAGGGAGAATGCACAAGGGTGAGAGGAGGTGTGAGAGGTGCCATGTGGGTCAGAGTGTGTGGGGGTGCAGCACAGGTCGGAATGGGTGTGGCGTGAGCGCAGAGGGGCTGGAGGAGGGTGCACAGGTGGGAGAGACTTATCCCAGCAACTTGTGACCTTCCCTGCCAGCTTTCCCATTGACTTTCTAGGGAAGCTGGCAGGGAAGGTTGCAAATGGCAATCATGTGATTGTGGGGTGCTTGGCAACCAGTTGTAAGTGCAAATGGGTTGCCAAACACCCAGATCGCAATCATGTAACAGCGGGGGTGATAGGATGGCCAGAACATCTGAGGACTGGTCATAACTGTTATTTGTTCAGCGCCATCATAACTTGGAACGGTTGCTGACTGAATGGTTGTACGTTGAAGACTACCTGTAACTTCTTTAATCAGTGTGCAGATAATTGATTGCTAGGATATGACAGCATTTTGTTTGGTAGAAAGAATTCTAACACAAGAACCAGGGTTTTGTGGGGAAATAGCTTATGCAACAAGCTTTTTATGTATAGAAAGAAGAAATTCCAAGGCTGTTGCTTCATAAAGATTATAAAAGCTTTGAGTCTTTCTTGACACAACCGCCTTATTACTCTTGTTAGTATATGCACTTGTTGAGGCCCACTTCTCATGTTACAGGTGTGCTGTTCTGAAATATGTTCCACTTTGCTTGAAAAAGTAATGGGAAGTTTGGTAGGAAAGGACTGTTGTAAATTATGATACAGCTGTCCTCTAGTGCAATACAAATTCAGTACCTTGTGTGGTCCTGCCCAGCTGGGCCTTATGAGGGATGTCCAGCAAAGCTGCAAGGTGGGCTGTGCTAAACTAGGTTAGGGCATGGACAGCAGGAAGCTTTGGCCTTGCACTATGTTTCATTTAAACTATGATTGCTATGGAAACTATGTGCCTATGAGAAAACAATTGGCATTAAATATTACAAGAAATACTAGCTAGTTTACAAGCAGAAATAACCTGACTGATTCCTCAGGGCCACTCTAAAGGAGGGGAAATTAACACTTTAGTTTAACACTGCATGTGAAACAGTCTGTTACTCCTTCCTGAAAATCAGGTTCCATAAAACATGAATAGGAGGCATGTGGTACTCCAGAAGTTGTTAAACTACATCCCAGGCATTGAGTAAGTTGGCTGGAGCTGATAGGAAGCGTAATCTGTCAGCCTCTGGAGAGTTGTAGTTTTCTAACCCCTGCCTTAAACATTCTTACGTGAGCCATCTAGGAACTGTAGCTGCTTTGAAGCTCCTGGGCCACTTGATGTGGTGGAAATAATGTATAGAATAGTAAGCCGGCAGAGAACATGGTTTTTGTTTTTTGTTTTAGAACAATGCTCTGCTAATTAGTTTATTTTTAGTGTCTTTTTGACTGAACAAGGAAAACACACTGGAAATTGTGCTCTAATTCTTGAAATCCTACCTGCCTGTGTTCTAACTGTATTTGTTGATCTGGTGTGAAGTCAGTTCTATATTCAGCCCAGCCCAGCATATCAGTTTATTTTCCTGAAGCATGACAACACCCATTTAGAGGTTATGACATTCCTGATTCATATAAACGTGTAATGTATGCTATCTAAAGTTACTGCGGCATCATTTTACTGATGTATTATGTTGCAGGTTCATAATGTATGACACTGTTTGCTCTTTGGACACTATTGTGGTTTATGGTACCTAATATATGATTCTAATCGCAATAAAGTAAATAAAAATAGATCAGTGTATTCTAGCTGAAGTACATAAAGTGTCCAACAATCTCATCCATTCCATGTTAATTCACCAATGACTACTCCCACTGAGTTCCTTGGATAACTCCCATTTAACAGCACATGAGCTTACAGAAGATACCTACTTAGAAACCTTACCAGTCTTAGTTTTAACATATTTGCCAAATTAAGGGTACATAAACTTCAAAGCCAGATGTCTCACTGATGTCTTTTGAAAAAGGTTGAGGGCACACCTCGCTCTTCCCTTGAGATCAGATAAACTTTGGTTATGGGGATATTCTTAAAGTGAAGGTGTGTTGAAAATTGTCAAGAGCTGTGGACTTTTAACTGAGTATAAGGTAAATGTTCATAAGGGCTAACAAGTAAACCATTCAGGGAAGATACACCAAGATTAAATCTGCTTTTATGAGGTCCTACGGATTGTTTTACTGTAGATCAAAAACCAACCCAAACTGAACACTTGCATAGTTAATACCTGTGATGGGGTTCTAGCAGGATTTTTGCTACCAAACCTGTCAAATCTTAAATATTACCATAACAATTCTACATGCCATTTTTGAAACATTCAGTATTCATTGCCTTGAGTATTTAATAAAAAGGAAATATATGTATGTATGAATGTATGGCTTTCAAAATAATCAGTACTTCCTCTTCTTGCAGAGGAAACAATGCCTGTGGAAAGAATGCGAATGCGGCCATGGCTAGAGGAACAAATAAATTCGAACAAAATCCCAGGGCTGAAATGGCTTAATGAGGTAAGGCGAGCCTGCATTTTTAAGCAGTGAGAAATAAACCAGACAGTCCATCTTTTCTAAAGGAGGACTGCAGAGCATTCAAAAGAAGTGTTTTGCATAGTACGTTACTGCAAGTTAGGCGGCCCTTGTCTAAGAGTTAAAATAGCCACATCCTTTGGAAGGCTTGTTTTGCTGTTTGCTGCCTAGAAGGTTACCTCTTTGTGTGTGTGTGTGTGTGTGTGTGAGAGAGAGAGAGAGAGAGAGAGGGTGTGCATACACAGGCAGGATTTCTTCTGGGACTGAACCCAGATATGCTCAGACCTGAGTCTTCTAAAAGATGTGGCTGCTTTGATTCTCCAGGGAAGGAGGCTTCGTTCACGCTAACACGCTGCAAAGCACTCCTTTCAAAGGCTTTGCTTAGCCTTGATAACAAACACTAGGCTCACCTTGAACAAGGCATTATTTATAATTCTGATTCATAGAGCAGAGATAAGTCAGCTACCTGATTCAGATGTAACTAGAAACTTTGGCCTTTTTTTTTTTTAAACAAACAAGGAAGTATCCAGTTATGTGATCTCGGCAAAAAGGAGGAGGGATTTTAATTTGGCTTTCTGTGTGACACTTCCCATAATGTTTGTGTATATATATATGAATTCTGGGATAGATTAAACTGACCCTCAGGTAGATATCATAGCTCCCAGTTACTAAGAGCTGTACATTCCTTTTCTCATAGGTACATTCAAAGCAGTATTTAAAAAGGTTAATAAATCAGACACCAATGAAATCTAAAAATGTTGTTTCAAAATATAATAACACAAAGCACCTCAGTCTTAATACTCACCAATTCATGCTGAGGCATATGCTAATTGTGTATTGTTTTGGGAAAGTACCACAGTTTGAAACCATAAAGGGCTGTCTCATCAGCATCATCTTTTTTAAGCATTTAAATCAGTGTTTCTCAAACTTGGCAACTTTAAGATGTTTGGACTTCAACTCCCAGAATCCCCAAGTGAGCCTGCTGGCTGGGGAATTTTGGGAGTTGAAGTCCACACATCTTAAAGTTGCCAAGTTTGAGAAACACTGATTTAAAGGTTCTGTCTGTCATCTTCTCTTACTGGCCCTCCTGGAATACTCTTATCATCTCAGCTTCTCTATGTCTTTCTTTTCCTAAACCCAGATTAAAAAAAAAAAGTGGAATGCAGCCATCACTGTTTATTTTCTAAGAATGCTGATTGTGGTATGCGGACCAAAGAAACAATATTATAAGTAGAGAAAATGCTACAGGCAGAATGTCAGATTCACAAAAAAAGTAACAGAATCTTTTAAAAATATTCAGAGATCTGAAGGAACCTGGCAGCATCCAGAGATGTATCCTCAAATATTCTGGTGCTCCTGGGTGCCTGCTTGTCTAGCTTTGCTATAAGGATCTAACATTTAAGTTAGCGAGGTAATCCTTGCTGATGTGTCCTATTTGTTTGTTTCTCCCCCCCCCCCCAGGAAAAGAAGATTTTTCAAATTCCTTGGATGCATGCCGCACGTCACGGGTGGGATGTCGAGAAAGATGCTCCTTTATTTCGGAACTGGGCCATTCACACTGGTATGGGAAACTTATTTTTACTGGAGAGGTTTCTCGTGAGATTTCTCTATTTCTCTCATTGATACTACTTTCTGTTTTGCTGCTGCATGTAATCAACCTCATAAGGGCTGTATACGTGGTAAAGTAAGCTAAAATGCCCTCTCTGTTTCAAATGGATAGGGAGTCCTGTAAGTATGGCAAAGTCATGTAAATATCAGATGCGTCCTTGTGCTTTGCTGCTGAAGATTGATTTCTGGAGTCCCATTGAGTTGACTCTCATTGAGCACCTTGCTGGGTTGATTATCTGGAATTCTGTGTAGCTCTAAAGTCTTTAAAAAGCATTTGGTTGGAAACTATTCCTTTGTTCCTGATTCCTCTATACCAGTGTTTCTCAACCTTGGCAGTGTTAAGCCGGGTGGGGTTCCACTCCCCCAAGATCCCCCCCTCCCGGTGGGTTATCTGGGGGTTGTAGGT